CTAAAAACGCGTCAAGTGGCGCGCTCTAAAATGACCCTTACGAGGCTCCTGATGAAATACTCATTTCATTATTATTATTTTTGAGTGGAACTCCTTTCATTAGTTTTTTAGGATAAACACAAGCTCTATTACTCAAGAATGTTTTTTTGATAGGTACTCTTTTTTTAGCTACTGTATCCTTTATTAAAAGTTCAAACACAAGGGGATACAGATAATTTCGGGCAAAATACTAAGCCACACGTGGCGCCCGGGGTTGAGAGAAGCAGCTGCCTTCGCTAAAGCATGGGCTTCTCCATTGTGCTTCCTGTTTTCATGAAGAAAGTCTACATCCTGGAATTGCCTCCTTTGGTGTTTGATATCTTGCAAGATGGAATGATAGTGGCAAGGAACTTAAGCTTGTATATTCGACACTACTTCCAGGAAATCTGAGGCTACACATAAAGATTGAACCTGCAAATCAGCTGCAAGTGAGAGGGCCTCGCTGCATGCCTGCGCCTCGAGGATGGTTGGATCGAGTCGGCCTTCATGGATGATGGTCGAGGCACCTAGGTACTTGCCCCTTTAGTTCCTGCATACCACTGCTGAAGCTGCTCGGTCCCCAATCTTGGAAAATCCACCGTCCACATTCATTTTGACCTCATGATGCTCGGGCGGTAGCCAGTTGGACGAGGTCGAAACCACGTGACCACCTCCTGTTACATGCAGGTCCCTGATATTCACATGCAGGTCCCTGGAGATTACATGTGAGTCCTTGGTGCATGGTTTTCTGTCCAGTAACATCTCGAGCTCGGCTAGGAATTTCTTGATGAAAATATGGGTACTCAGTGGGCTCTGGAACTGATTATTGTGTATGGCTCGGCGTCTTGCCCACCAGATGGCCCACATTGTAACCAAAACTTGTGCTAGGTCCGCCGAAGGTAGAGTGTCAACGAGCCATAACATCCATAGTTTAGCATCCTTCTCCCTGTTTGAGATGGTTGTTTTCGTTAGATCCTCATCGGTGAGGGCCCAAACACACCGGGCCATGCGGCAATCAAAGAAAGAACGGCGCCATGTATCGACTGTCGCGTGACAGATCGAGCACTCGGCCGAGTCAGCCATGCTTCGATGCTTGCGGACCTCTCCTGTAGGAATAGAGATCTTCGCCAAATGCCAGGCAAATACACGAACTTTTGAGGGAACTGCAGCGCCCCAGAGCGTAGACCAAGACCTGCGATCTGAATCAACACGCGAGTGACCCTCGTTGTTTTTGAGCCAGTCCGTGCGCTGCTGTTTTGTTGCGGACAAGAGCTTGTACGCTGACCTGATAGTGAAGATTCCCTTTCATTCATAATGCCACGCCCAGAATTCTTCCCGCACACGGGAGCTGAGCGGAATATTGCAGATTGCTTCCTTGTCCATCGTGTAGAAGTGTGTCTCAAGCATGTCGATATCCCAAGATGAGGTGACTGGGTTAATGAGTTCTGAAACCATCTGTGGGGGGTTCGGTGTTTTGGGGCACACTGGTCGAAGCTCGAAATCACGTGGTATCCAATTATCTCCCCAAATATTGGTATCTTCGCCTGAACCAATACGTTTCACTAGCCCGAGCCGTAAAGTGTCTCTTCCTTCTATCAGGGAACGCCAAACCTGTGAAGGGTTCCTGCCCAGCTCGGCTTCAAGAATCGACGAAGTAGGATAGTAAACCGCCTTGAGAATCCGGGCGCTCAGGGAGTTTGGTTCCCGGAGGAGACGCCAAGCTTGTCGTGCAAGCAGGGCTAGGTTGAAGAGCTCGATGTCGCGGAACCCCATACCTCCCATGAACTTTGATTGCGTCATGACTTCCCATGATACCCAAGCAGTCTTCCTTTCACCGTTTTTTGATCCCCACCAAAACTTCCTCAAGATGCCATTGATGTGCTGACATAAGCCTCTAGGGAGCTTGAAACACGCCATAGAGTATGTAGGTATTGCTTGAGCCACAGATTTGTTGAGCACCTCCTTTCCTCCAACCGAAAGCGCTTTCTCCATCCAGCCTTGTACTTGCTTCCAAATCTTGTCCTTAAGATATTTAAAGGACCCCTCCTTGGCTCTCCCTACATCAGCAGGAAGGCCAAGATACTTTTCGGACAGTTTCTCATTTTGGACTTGAAGTATTTGCTTGACCTCTTGCCTCGAGGATTCTGAGCAGCCCTTGCTGAAGAATATGGAGGATTTCTCCTTGTTGATTCGTTGCCCCGAAGCCGCACAATATTTCTAGAGGAGGGTATTCACTCTATTTGCCATCTCAGGACTAGCATTAAAGAATAAAAGGCTATCATCTGCAAAAAGCAAGTGATTTACCTGTGGTGCGCCGGCTGCCACCGTGATGCCATTTACAATCTCATCCGGTCTTGTGGATTTCAGAAGGCAGGACAGTCCTTTGGTGGCTAATAAAAATAAGTATGAGGATATAGGGCAGCCCTGCCTGAGTCCTCTGGAAGGCCGAAACTCCTCTTGCTTGCCTCCATTAAAGATGACCGAAAAAGAAATCAATGTGACACACCACATCATTGTTTGTGTAAAGCGTGGGCTTATTCCTAGTTTGAGCATAACTCGCTCCAAATAATTCCATTCTAGTCTGTCATAGGCCTTCATCATATCAAGTTTTAAAGCACGATAGCTATTGCCCTTCAGCTTCCTGGTTTTCATAAAGTGGAGACACTCGTAGGCTGATACGAAGTTGTCCGTAATAAGACGTCCTGGTACAAATGTTGATTGTTCTTCGGAGATGATGTGGGGGAGAATAAGCTTGAGCCGATTTACCAAAGCCTTGGATGCAATCTTGTAGATCACATTGCAAAGGCTTATCGGTCGAAACTGTGCTAAATTTTTTGGACTAGCAATCTTGGGAATTAAAACAATGAACATTTTGTTGATCTCCTCCATGGAATCATCTCCATTAAGAACTCTGAGCACCATCGCAGTAACCTTATCACCACACAACTCCCAATGTCGTTGGAAAAAAATGTGCAGGAAAGCCGTCGGGCCCTGGGGCCTTGGTCGGGAACATCTGAAACAGATCCGTTTTCACCTCGGCATTATTGTACTGTGCATTTAGCGAGGCGTTCATAAGCGTCTACCCGTGAGGGTATATGTGACAAGACTTCCTCGATGCCCATCGTATCTTCTGAGGTGTACAAGTTACTGTAGAAGGTTGTAGCCATATCTGCCATCTCGTATTTGTCCGTGCAAGCAGAACCGTCTGGTCGTTGCAACTCAGCAATGCGGTTTTTGGCCTTACGAGCACTTGCTTTGCGGTGGAAAAATTTGGTGTTGCTATCCCCTTCCGCAAGCCATTGGATTCGCACCCTTTGGCGCCACATAATATCTTCCCTTAGGCAAAGTTCAACCATACGGGCTTCCACTTTCCCCTCCTCATTTGATGGCCCCGTTCAGTTGGGAAGCGAACGCAACTCCTCAAGTTGCTTGCGTAGGCGGCGTAGCTTTGACCGGACTGCATCAAAGGTGGTACGCCCCCAGCTTTGCAGCCTGCCCGCCACCGATGCTAGCTTACCTGACAGCTCCATAACCGTATTAGCTCTGCCTGTTGAATTCCATGCTTCAGTAAGCATGTCGCCAAAACGTGTGTCCCTCTCCCACATGCATTCATACCGGAAACGCTTTTGGTTGGCCCGCACACTTGTGTCAACTAGGCCAGTCTCCAAAAGAATCGGACAGTGGTCAGACTTGGCCGCGGTAAGATGCTCAAGAGAAGCAAAGGGAAAAAGGGCAAACCAACAAGGTGAAACCAAGGCTCTGTCCAACCGAACGCGACAGAAGTGACCCCCGGCTACTTTCTTCTCCCAAGTCCAATCCAATCCTCGGTAGCCCAGATCTGCTAGACTGCATACATCCACGGCCTCTTTGAATGCATCAATCTGTGAGCTGTCACGCTCATTAGGACCATGTTGCTCTTCTGGCCGCAAGATTTCGTTGAAATTACCTATGCACATCCACGGGAGGGTGCTCTCCCCCGCAAATGTTTCATAGTATCCCATGTCTTGTAACGTAGGCTTCTGGTGGCTTCCCCGTAGAAACAAGTCAGCCTCCATTGTTCTTTCCCTGGTTCCGTGACCCATGCATCAACATGATACTCGGAATAATTCTTTATTGCAACATCCAAAGAATTTTTCCAAAAGATACAAAGGCCGCCGCTACGGCCCGTGCTACCAACTCCAAAACTGAAATCATAACCTAAGGAAATCCGAAGATCTTCAACACGACTCTTTTGCAATTGAGTTTCAACTAAACACAAAATAGAGGGCGAACTAATCTCCACAAGATCACGGAGTTCACGAACTGTCGCAGGATCGCCTATCCCACGACAGTTCCAGCACAAGATTTTCATTAGTTGCTCCCACCACAATTCCAGTCCAATCACACAAACCTCGTTACGGGCCCAATCAGGCCCAGGTTTGCCAGCCCAGTGCGCCACCGCTGGGCCGTCGGCAGTTACCCTTCCCCACTCCTTCAGCGGCGTCTCCCCTGTTCGCGACGCTTCCGGAGCCTCCGCGGCGGCCCCGCCTGAGGCGCCCGCGTGTCGTGCTCTCTCCCGGCCTCTCCAGAAAATGCCTTTCCACCTTCTTCTACCTCCCCCACCCCCTCCTTCAGCCCATTCCTCTCAACCCATTTCGCGCACACCCTCAGTTCGTTTTGCGCTACCGCGGAGGGAGGAGCATCGACGAGCAACGCCGGCGAAGAGAGTCCCCAGCGCGCACCCCTCGCCCGTTCCGGTAAGGCTTCTCCCAACCCTTCAGATGCTCCATTTGATCCGTGCCTGATTTCTTTAGATTGACGCATCGTGGCTCGTTGATCCGAGCACGAATTCCGCTGAGTTCAGTATTAGGTGCCTATGTGCCTGTGTTTGTTCTATGCTCTGCAATCGGGTAGTTCGCTAGTACTAGTGCAGTGATGGTTGGTTGCGGTAAGGTACTAAAATTTGCCTTCTATGCAAGGTGGAGAAACACAGCAGCCGTGACATGTTACTCATGTGCGTAGTTGTGCCTGCTTGTTTCAAACCCAGACATTGCTATGGAACCTTAGTCAAGTTCTTGGTTTGTCGCCGGGGATTAAATGTGCCAGACTCTTTTTAGGAGCCAGGTTTCAATGTGTTATTATCATAGAAACACGTAGTCATGGAAGGATCAGCTAGGCAAGCTAAGTTGGTGTCTGAATGTTTCTCTTGGTAAATATGGTTTGTCAAAATTGAGTATTGCAGAATCTGGTTTAAATTATGACAGGTAATATTGCAGAATCTAATTTAAATTAGAACCCTGCTACAAATCTGATGTCAGACTGTTAAACATGGCAAATCAAACATTTTTTACGGCAAATTACGTGTCGTGAGCGAGCCCGGCAATTCCCCTCAGCAAGCATGTTCATTGTTTTGGCCAAGATTTGCCATGATTGCTGAAGGGGATTACCATGCTCGCGACACGTGATTTGCCATAAAAATATTTGATTTGCCATGCTTAAAAATCTAACATCAGGTTTTTTGCGTTTCCTTTAAATTATGACAGGTGAATATTGCAAAAGGAAATCAAGATAGTTAGTTTAAATTATGCAGTGCATGTTCATAATTCACTCTACCCTGTGTGGTATGCATCATGTCAAAATTGGATTGTAGTTGTAGATGTTCAGACTTTTTGCGTGCAATTATTAGTTTTGATGTCTGAATACTCAGCAGCAGCAGCCTGCATTCATATATATATATCGATAGTTCATGGTGGGGATTTAGCTTAAATTGTAATCTGCCCTTCATTTCCTTTCGAACTGCTCCTCTCAGTGAGCTGATGTAAGCACCAAAAACTCATTTGGTTTCGTTCTAAGTATGAGCCGGGGAGTGCCTCCCTCTTTTTCTACAAAAGAATACTCAGCAGGATACATATTCAGACGTTTTGCGTGCAATTATTAGTTTTGAATGTCTGAATGCTCATCAGCATACATATTCAGACGTTTTGCATGCAATTTTTAGTTTTGGATGTCTGAATACTCAGCAGCACACAGTATAATTTGCTGCTGTCACTGTTTAAAGAATCTGGTTTTGGACGACACTTGAAAGAATCTAACAACGCCTAACTGGTTTGACTGTATTTTGTAGGATGGCTGAGCAATTCTACACAGTGGCATCTGACAGTGAAACCACCGGGGACGACAAAGCACCACAATCATTCCCTGATGTTGCTATCGGCATTGATATTGGCACCTCAAGATGCAGTGTTGCAATTTGGAATGGTCATCAAGTGGAGCTGATGAAAAACACCCGTAGCCAGAAAGGGATGAGGTCATATGTCATGTTCAAAGATGACACCCTTTCAGCGGGTGTTACTGGAGGAGCAACCAAGGAGCACGCACACGAGGAAAGAGATATCTTGTCAGGAAGTGCAATATTTAACATGAAGCGTTTAATCGGGAGAATGGACACAGATGAAGTGGTTCAAGCTAGCAAGACTCTCCCTTTCCTTGTGCAGACACTGGGCATTGGTGTGAGGCCATTTATTGCCGCTCTGGTCAACAATATGTGGCGCTCCACAACTCCTGAGGAAGTTCTTGCCATCTTTCTTCTTGAATTGAAGGCCCTGGTGGAAATGCATCTCAAGCATCCAGTGAGGAATGCTGTTCTAACCATCCCAGTTGCATTCAGTCGCTTCCAGCAGACCAGGATCGAGAGAGCATGTGCAATGGCTGGACTGCATGTGCTGAGGCTTATGCCAGAGCCCACTGCTGTTGCTCTTTTGTATGCTCAGCAGCAGCAGCAGTTTATGCAAGATAACATGGGAAGTGGCATTGAGAAAATCGCCCTGATATTTAACATCGGTGCTGGCTATTGTGACGTTGCGGTGTCTGCCACTGCTGGAGGTGTTTCTCAGATAAGAGCACTCGCAGGTTGCACCGTTGGTGGAGAGGACATTCTTCAGAACGTAATGCGCTACCTTCTACCCGACTATGATAGCTTATGTGACAATGCTGGTCCAACCACGGACAGGATCAAGTCAATGGGTTTACTGCGAATGGCTACTCAGGATGCGATTCACAAACTGGCTTCCCAGGAAAGCACTGAGATCAATGCAGACCTGGGTAATGGCCTGAAAGTGTCCAAGCTGCTGAGTCGTGCAGAGTTTGAACAGGTGAACCAGGCGATCTTTGAGAAATGCGAGAGGATCATCAAGCAATGCCTGTCAGATGCAAAGTTAACGCCAGAGGACATCAACGATGTGATCTTGGTTGGAGGGTGTTCCAGAATTCCCAAGATCAGAAGCCTTGTCCTGGGATTGTGCAAGAAGGGAGACTCTTATGGAAGCATCGACGATCTTGAAGCCGCTGTTTCAGGTGCTGCACTGGAAGGAGCCATTGCTTCAGGAGTCACCGACCCTTCAGGGAGCCTGGATCTGCTGACGATTCAGGCGACCCCGATGAACCTCGGGATCCGTGCCGACGGGGACGGCTTTGCAGCCATCATTCCAAGGAACACCGCTGTCCCGGCTAGAAGGGACATGCTGTTTACAACAACGCAGGACAACCAGGCCGAGGCGCTGATCGCCGTCTACGAAGGCGAGGGGGAGCAGGCGGAAGAGAACCATCTCCTGGGGTACTTCAAGATCACCGGCATCCCGCCGGCGCCCAAGGGTGCCGTCGAGATCAGCGCCTGCATGGACATCGACGCCGGCAACGTCCTCAGGGTGTTCGCTGGGGTCGTGAAGCCGCAAGGCGAGGCCACCCCGCCGTTCATGGAGGTGAGGATGCCCACGCTGGACGACGGCCATGGCTGGTGCGGGCAGGCCCTGGCCAAGATGTACGGCAGCAAGCTCGACCTCGCTGTTCTTCCTAAGAAGCTGCACCCGTAAGTGCTTTGCTCATCAATTTTTCGAAGAAAAAAATTGCTTTGCTTGTGACTTTGTGAGACTGGCTGTGTACTCTAGTAAATTAGGTCGCGGATGGTGGTTTCGACGATGTATCATGTCGTGTGAGATCTCTATGTGGTACATGTAGACAAATAAATGCCAGTGTTGTCTGTGTACAATAGTGTCTTGCGTGTAAAATGGGATGTTGCTAGTTGTACAAATAAGGGATGTCTAATTTAGACACCTTTGGTCTTTAGAATTTCCTCAAGGCCTCATTCGGTTCGGAGGATTTTTATAGAAAAAACATGGGAACAAGGATTCCAGAGGAAAATTTTCTATATATGCATTTGGTTTATAGGAAATGCGTATAAGAATTTCGTAAAAATACTATTCATTTCCTATGTTTTTGGAGAAAACTACGCATCCACTCAAAACTTATTTTGCGCGTAGGAATGAGGCAAGTCAATTTCTTAGAGTGGCAAGTGCCATCCTATCAAATTCCTATACTACTACAAATTCCTACATTTAAATTTCCTGCAAACCGGATGAGCCCCAAGTTTCTTCCCGCACAGCACAATTGGCCACTCCTGTCCCACACCATACTGCGTATCCTTTTCGGCCCATCGCCCCAAGTTTCTTCCCGCACAGCACAATTGGCCACTCCTGCCCCGCACCATACTGCGTATCCTTTTCGGCCCATCGCCCCAAGTTTCTTCCCGCACAGCACAATTGGCCACTCCTGTCCCACACCATACTGCGTATCCTTTTCGGCCCATCGCCCCAAGTTTCTTCCCGCACAGCATAATTGGCCACTCCTGTCCCACACCATACTGCGTATCCTTTTCGGCCCATCGTGCCTGTCTGCTCAGGATGTAAATGGTCAGTCCACTGGATGTTGTGGGACTGCCCGCACTGGCCACCATTTTTTATGTGGGATTACGCGGGAGCCCAATTAATTTTCATGCGGGACATGTGGCGTCCATATACTGCCGCATATATTTACAAAGCTTAGACTGGATAAGCTGACATACAAAGGATCACTGAAACAGTGGATAATATTAGCCCACACTGACATAACGATCGCTACTAATTATCACTAGTGAGTTCGAGCTTCATTCAGTAGTCGCCTCTAGAATAACAAAATCCACAAAGCAGCGGCAACTTAACTAAAAACGCCTATCAAAGCAGCAGAAATATCTCCTATATGTGAACAAAAAGGAATATGCAGCACACTCCCCATCCTCCATATCCCAAAATTAACAGAAAGCACCTAGAGTCCTAGACTCAAAACGGCACCAAATGATAAAACTATCAGCTAAGAGCATCTTCCATTCTTCTGTCAGCTTTGTGTCGGGCGACCTTTGTACACCAAGCTATGCTCACTGATCTTTCACTTAATTAATCGGAATCAGAATGGTCTCAGGATTGGCCTCATCTTCAGTCGACTCAACTGATTTTTTCTCCAGAAACATCTCAACTTGCGTTCATTCAAGTTTATTAATAAGTTATATAAGACATACAGTACTATCTACATGAAAAAGAAACACGGATAAGAAGTAAGCAGGGTTCCTTAAATCACAAGCATACACCAGTGTGTATTTCCTTTCCCTAAAATGATTGTTAATCAATATTGTCGAGGAGGGAAGCAAAACCATCAAGGATAAAAAATGCAGATAGCTAGCACCACAATCTTTAAAAAATGCAGATAGCTAGCAACAAATTCACAATAGGCAATGATCTTAAATTAATATTCTAACCAAGAAGAGTCCTTAATGAGTATTATTGTGACCAGATCTTGATAGCATAATTGCAAGGATGATAAATACATACTCCCTCCGTCCAGAAATACTTGTCATTGAAATGGATGTATCTAGATGTATTTTAGTTCTAGATACATTCATTTTCATCCATTTTGATACAAGTAATTCCGGACGGAGGGAGTACAAGTTAGCAGCATACACAATTTATATTCAGAGCACAACTCGAAACTATGGACGTAAAAGAAACCAGATTTAACTCAAATGCTCCCCAAATTTACCCAAAGCTTGCTACAATTGAACAATTGATTAGCAATATTATGTAGTGCACACATACCTCAGTTAATAGTAGTGACCTTGATCAGGAGCATTGGCATGCTTATCATTACATCTAAACCAATCTTGAAGGCAGATTAAGGCTTCCACAGTCTCGCTGCACAATCTACTTCTGTAATCGTTGATCAAACGCTTTCCGGTACTGAAAGCCGACTCTGACGATACGACGGAAGCTTGTACAGCAAGAACATCACGAGCTATACAAGAAAGGATGGGATACTTAGACGAGTGAAGATGCCACCATTGAAGAATGTTGAAATCCTCCGTGCGAGTGAATGTGTCTTCTTCTAAGTATCTGGCAAGCTCACTAGCAGTTTGGCATTGCTTCTTATTCAAGTGTTGGTCCCAATCCGCCAACGGATAATTCTCTTCATTCACAACCTCATCAAAATTTTGTCGGGGTGCTGACTCATCCAATGCATCCGTCATTTGTGAAGAATATTCTTCGAAAAGGTTGTCAAGAACTTCTTTCACTGCAAGCAAGTGTCTTTCTACATCTGGACCAAAAGCTTGTTTTAGTCGAAACTCGATGAAGCAAAGTTTAAATCGTGGATCAAGGATCACAGGAATACAGTTTGGCAAATATGATTCCATCCAATACTTATCAAACTTTTTTTGCATCTCTCCAACCATTGCTTGAACGACTTCATCCTTTGTTGAAGCTTCCTTCTGCAGCAATAACCTCACATTCCAGATTTGATGAAAGTACAAATTTGAGGTAGAATAACTTGAACCAGAAAGTACATTTGTGGCTGTGTGAAAAACTTTTAACATAACACAAACTGTATCAACATTTTTCCACTCTCCTGAGGATGGGCAAAACACATAATCTGGGTCCTTTTGCACCAAAGCACGAAAGGCTCTTCGAAAGGGGAGCGCTGACTCCAACATAATATAGGTGGAGTTCCAACGTGTTGGCACATCAGCTGAGGGGAGTTTGCAAGAGATACCAACTTGCGCAACTACTTCTTTGAACTTGTCCAACCGAGAGGGAGAACTCTTAATGTACTTCACACTCTCTTTGATATCATCTATCACACCTTTCATCGTTGTCAACCCATCTTGGACAATCAAATTTATCACATGGCATGCACAACGGATATGAAGTAATTGACCTTTAATAGGCAACATATGCTTGCTGTTCAGATTTTTTCTAAGATTATTGACCATTGTACCAGTAACTGATGCATTATCCAATGTCATACTAAAGAGTTTGTCCTCAATATTACACTCCTGCAAACTCTTTAATAAGACATTAAACATTGTTACTCTGTTATGTGGAGTCTCCACCATAAAAAATCTGAAGATCCTCTTTTGCAAAATCCACTTGCTGTTGATCAAATGGCAAGTGATGCATAGATAGGACAAAGTCTGATTAGATGTCCACGTGTCCGCTGTTAAAGAAACTCTACCACTGTATTTCTTCAAATGTCCAGAGAACGCCGACCTCTCCAAATTATAGTGTTTCATGCACTCATCTTTAATAGTATTTCTAGAAACATTTTTGAACAAGGGATTCAAACTTTTCACGAAGTCTCTAAAACCACTGTACTCAACTATTGAGAAAGGCAACTCATGCATTACTATCATTCTGGCAAGCAAATCTCTAGATGTTTCTTGATTAAAGTTCCATTGCTTAAGCATAGAGGCATCAGGAGATGAAACCGAGGACTTCATCTTCTCAACGTAGAGGTGTAAATCTGACCTTTTTTCGCAAGCAGCCAAGTGTCTTCTTACACCACTTGTGCCAACATCTCGTCCAGCTTGAAACACTTCATGATAGTGCTTGCACTGAGCTTTGACAAGTATCTTATGACGATAAATTGGTTTGAAATCCCTCCAAACAGCAGAAGTTAGCCTTCTTGTCTTGCGGACTATTAATTGGCAAGCAAATAAAATGTCAACTCACAAGAACATTTTAAACTTGTAACTACATACAAGTGTAATTACAAAAGAGAAAAAACAAAGCCAACTCACCATGTGGATGATTAATTTTTGAGCCTCCAAATGGAGTAGTCACTGGAGAAGGGGATCCTAAGATAGATGGTGATCTCGTGGACGAATTTGCCCTCTCCTCCAATGGGGAACTTGCAATCCTCGTTGAGGGAGACCTGCCCCTTTTTGAGGCTGCAACTCTTGCTAGAAGACCAAGGGAAGATCTCCACGTGCTCGCCACCGGTGACCTTACCAATGGTGATCTTGTCGCTCTTTGACTATGTGTCATAGGTGGAGAATCTCGTCTCTAGATAACAAAACACAGAAAGTTCAGAACATGATATCAATTTCAAGAAGGTATAAAAGCAGATTTGTGGTATAGAGTGAGGTTTAATAGAGAAATCTGGCAAGAAAAATGACCTGTAGCCCCTCTGTTGTAGCTCCTTGAACAAATTCAGAACAGTTCATTGAACGAGCATGTTTCCTCTTCCCCTGCAACTCCTCCTCCTCCTCCTGGTTTTTCCTCTTCTTCTCTTGCTTCTTCCTCTTCTCTTCTCTCTTCTCTTTCCTCTTCTCTTCCAGGCTTTTCTTTCTCTCCTTATGCCTTCGTTTTTCCTTTTGCCTCTCTAATTTGTAACGCAAACACAGGGGGTCAAAAAAAATCAAAGAATACAAGTAATGTCACGAGGAAACACATGAGGGCCAGATACTTACTTCCGTTCCTCATCGATAGCATTCCACACATGTTGTTCCTGCTTCATGGCTTCCCACTTTTCAGCTTGCTTGTCGATCGTCAACACCATTTGGTCGTCGACATCACCCATGGTAACTTCCATCAAATCTGCATTGAATGTCCAATGAATGCTAAATTTAACTAGCAATCAGAACAAATGGACGCAACCGTAGAATTGTTCTATTTGCTTTCTTCAGACACAATACAAGATTTCACCATTAACATACAAATTTAGCATACAC